TCGTCTACTTTGATATCATCTTTTATTATTACTACGGATCATTTAAAGCGATTTTATCAGCCACAATTTAATTGTATCAAAAGTTTATATTTCTAATTAATAATTCGTGAATATTCTCATAGATTTTTTAATGAAATTAATTATTATTATTATTAATCTAAATGCTTTTATATAAATATTTTAAGTAAACATACAATGAATTTTAACATAAATTAAAAAGTCAATTTATAAAATTTACAATTGAAAAGATCAATAAAATTAAAATGAATTTTAAATTTAATAATAAAATAATAATAATAAAAAAACTTTAAAATGTATTAATGGGAAATTCGTCCTGGCGAATTGTCAAAACGTTCCACTCATCAAAAGATCCCAACGTAACTGTGATAGAACCTCTATTATAATGAAANATATTTTTTTTTCTATAAATAATTCAAATACACGTAATTAATTATAGCTAAAAAAAAATAATTTTTTTCGAAATGACTCACTCTTTATCCTTCCTTTATCAAAAGAAAACTAAGCAAAATATATTCAATTAAATTTTCCTTTTTAAAATAATGTATCCATACTAAATCAAATTTTTATAAACATTTAATTTGTTTTTGAAATATACTTACAAATTGATTAAAAATTTATTCATAAAAAGAGAATTAAAGAATTTATTTGAATAATATAACCATTTCTAATCAGTTTAAAAGCATAGAATCGTTTGATATTTGCATGAAAAATATTATTGTATCGAGTCTTTCAATAGCCAAAAGTTAAACAAAATAAAAAAAGAGATTTTATAGGGTTAAAGTTCATCCAATATATAGCACGACAGCCAGTTTAATTGAGAAAACAAATAGCCTATATATACGTATATATTATCGATGTGTAGATATTTTAAGAATCTGCAGATGTTATTAATTAGTTTTAATTAAAAGTTTAATAAAGAAGGAGAGTTTTCTATTATTAAAGAATGAACTTTGACTTAATATAATTTCCCCCTGAAACTTCTCCAAAAGCTTTAGTTATTGACTAAATTATTCTTCTATTTTAAATTTTCTAAATGTAATTTAAAATTAAATTAAAATGCATTTACTAGATAAGAGAATATTATTAATATTTTATTAGTAATAAATATCTCAATAAGTGAAAATATTTATCTATTAATTAAACAAATATTTATTCGAATAAGTTTGAAATTAATTGTATTTTATTATTGTAATATATTAATAAACTATTCAATAAGCTTATTAAAAATTTCCTCTTTTAGATTTATTTTAATGGACTTTTCAATATGTTTATTTTCACTTACGGGTCATTCGATTTAATGCTTTTAAATTGGCCTTTCTCCCTCTTTTAATATGATAAAGATCGAGCAAAAAAAAAAATGTGATTTTCTTTGTTTTATTTGAGCATTTCACACGATTACTTATGCTCGTACGGCCATAAAATTGAAACCTTCGGGCCTAAAACTTAATTTACATTGTACGAGTTCTTTTAAATTTATTAAACATTGTCTTAATTTATTATCATCCTCATTAACAAGTATATTCAATTAGATCTACATTCGAAAATTTAATGCTATAAATAGTTAAACTTGAACGATTTATTTTAATAAAAGCCAGACACTCGAATTTCTGATCAAAATTTATAATTTTGAAACCTCATAAATGTATAATAAACTTTATGTTATTGGTAGCTATCGCATCATTTCCTTCTTTACTGGGTTATAATTCAAAATCATCCGAAACAATGAAGATCTGAACGTTATTTATCATTTTATTTTCTATTCACGGGTCTTTAATGCAATAACTTTTAATTATCATTCTCTTTCTGTCGTAAATTTCACTTTTATTTAAACGACTACTCGGTAAAACAGTTTAAAATTGTATTATTATAAAATATATGAGTTGCGTATCGATGTAAGCGGTGTTTTATCATACAAAACTATATTATTTCTCCTTCTTTTCCATTATTATATTGTCCTATTATCTTAAATTAAGTGTAATTTTGCTGTTAGAACAAGTTTGTTACTTTACATCGAAATGCTAAATACGCTTGTTAATAATTAAAAAAAAAAAAAGGAATCTGTGTTACTTAGTAGTTAATTATAATACAACTCCTTGTTTAATAGTTCATTTAATTAATAATTCATCTTTTATAAACTAGTTGTATACATTTCAATTGTAATTAGAGCCAAACCTGAAAGAGAAACATCAAAAGTTACGAAACTGTTATTTACCGAACCCATATAATTTCCTCTTAAATAAAGGGCTAAAATAATGCTTACTAAAAGCAATGGCTCACCATTCGACCTTCCAATGCATCTGGGGCATAAAGTATCGACCATGTAGCTCCATCTGTCAATATTAGTGAAACTCATATCCAGACAGGTCGGATCTTGGCCTACTGAAGGATTATCTATCGACATTTATATATTAGCCACTGTTCTAGCCCCTTGTAATAATCAATTACCTAAAGAATACGAGTTTATGTCGCAGAGTTCTTTTCTAAAGATAACCAAAAGACACACATAATGCATAATCCTACGTTGTTGTTTACTTCTTTATCGAAAACAATTAAGGGATGAAGATATATCGATGATGCTTAGAGTAGGTAAGAGTATTCTGATAGATAGGGGTGTTCTATTCTTGCAATTCGATACTTAGACCTTTTTAGTATCTGATCCTGTTCTGTTGTTAAAACAAGCGTAGCAAATATCTTAATAGGCCTCAATAGGGTTGCCTATAGCATAAAGATAAACTAAACGGAAACGAATGATATTTAAAAATGAAATCTACTCTTTTAATCTTCTCTACAATTTCCAATCGTGGCCTAAAAATCAGCAATTTTTTCATTATTTAAAAATAGAAGAATGCAATACAAATGTCTAAAATATATATAAAAGCAATGGATTATTAAATATAATTAATAATTGTTTATAAAATTAATCATTTATTTTAGTAGTGAAGGAGGAAAATATCGTTACCTCGTCCGTCATAAAGCATCGATTGAATGTGCAACGCAGGAAGAATCTGCCTAAGGCATATCTTGTTTACTTACTATGATTCTGTTTCATTTTTAAGAGTTTTATATATAAATAAATAAATAAATAGTTCTTGAATAATCTTTAGATTTTGTACCTCTTTCATATTCAATACTTTAAATTAATTACGAAAGAATAAAAATATTAATTTTTATAAGAAAAATAAATGATTTAAAAGCTTCATTTCAAGACTACGAGTTTCGGCTTTTAATAAACTGTTTACATAATTTATATTTTTAGATCTTTAAAATGTTTGAAAGAGAAAAAATAAATAAAAAAAATAATGCTTATCCGATTATAAATATAAGAGTAAAAGTAACAGTAAGAAATTATTTATTTTCATTTATAATTAATATAATANATAGTAAATATAATAAATTTATTATATATAGTATTTTAAGAAATTAAAACGCAAAATTTAACAAAAATAAATTATTTATAAAATTTAAAAACAGTAAAATATTAAGAAATTTTGATTTATTTAAAGGATTTACGATTGTAATTTTTATAGTAACATAAATAAAATAGAATTTCTCTTTATAATTTATACACTTTTAAAGAATCGGATCTGTTTTAAACTCGTAGTGCGAGAGTAAATTACCTGATGAATATATCAAAGGCACACAACATAAGTTCTTTTAGAAAAGCATTACACATTCAAGACGATAACTATATCTATGCAAATTGCAACTGAATGTACGCTCTCAACCATAAACTGTACTACAATCCCGTACAACCGATCCCGAACGAGCAACAACTGAATTCCTCTTCACCATTCTCTAAATTAATAACAAGAAAGAATAATATTTCGTAAAGCAATTTAAAGAGTAAACGTTCAAACGATAAACACAATACCAAGCTATATTTTTCCATCTGGAACGGAAAATGAGCTATAACTTTCACGAAATGTTATTCCTAGAGGATAAATATTAGCAGCCAGAAGACAGCTGAATAAACATGGCCTGAAACATCCGCAAATGTCTCATAAAAGATTATTTTTTATTCAATAAAATTTTTTTGAATAAAGCAAAATAAAAAACAAGACTAACAGAGTTCTGTTCTTCCATAAGTTCGAATCTTTTCAGCTTTATTTAGGAATGTTTTAGGCTCGTGTTAGCATCTGTTTGAAACATCCTATTGAAAAAGATGGAAAGTTTAACCTGACTTATTTACTAAACAACTTTAGGTAGGTGTATTTAGGCCGGCATGAATGTTAGCAAACAAAGGTTAGAAGAATTTCTATTGTTACCTGTTCGTGTTCGTGCCAGGCCTAGTTTTGACTCGTTTATTCGTGTTTGAAAGGAAGGTCAACCAGATTTTCCCTAATAAGATTTAGGTGCATGTATCAAGAGAAAACTAAAAGTTTTTGACTCAATGTCCTGGATACATTTAATACCATTATAAACTGTCACGTTGATAAGGATAAATTTTACAAGTTAGACGTTTAAAATTAAATTCCGGTTTACATAAACACGAATTTTAATATGAGAGAAAAAGTTTTTTTTTCTTTTGAAATTTTCTATTGCGTTCACGTAAACAAGCGTTAGAATTTCTATAAAGGTAAAGAGTAATAACCGGTGTATTTTCTTTATCAATTATTTATATTCATCTCTTGCAATTTTCTCATGATTTGTAGTTCCGTACGAGAATAGTCGATTTTATATTCTTTCAACACCGACGATGTGCAAAATTCCAACGAACAAAGACATCCTAAATCAAGCTTAATTGCTGTAGACATACCAAACATCCGAACTGGTTGTTTCGTGTGTACTGCTCCTAACAGACATTGTCCAGACTTGGGACCTTCGAAGGTCCTATTGTATGAATACCTCACGGGGGCCTCCTGACAGAACTAACAACGAGAAACCACCTAGTAGCAAGTAGCACATCGCTATTTATCTCCAAACTTTTAGAAAGTTAAAAAAAAAAAAAAAGAAAAACTATACTAAATCGAAAAACATACCTGAGTTACGAAGAGGGCCGTTTTCATCCAACTATAAATTTATAGAAAATCCATTTGTAGAGAGGCACGTTAGCAAAATTCCAAAACTCTCACATACACAAATGACTCATAAACCCAAAAAAATTTGAACTTTGAATTTTGGATGATGATGCGCTTCCTACCGAGTCAGAGTCATAGGACACTATGCAGTGGGTCTCTCGTTTCAGAGACTCCAACCGGCAAAATCGACTCTCAACTCCCGAGCCCTCAGCTTATTGGTTACTCGATCTGAGCTGCCGGCTAGTCACACAACTATGCCACCTTGTGACTGACTCTCGAACCAACATACAGGTGATTGTCGTCACCGTTTTACCTGAACTTCGACAAAAACTATTTTACAGCGATACTTTCTTGCTACTGTAAGCATACAACATAAATACAGTTCGTTGTAAACAACGGTGTAAGAGAATAAAAAATATATCCAATTTCTATAATAATAAACGAATAAAAATCATTTTATTTCTTTAATAAATCTTTAATAACCGAAATATTCCATTTTTCTAATAATTATTTCACATAATTACATTACAAATACAGTAATAAATAATGTAAATAATAAACAAGCGTGCTTACTCTAACAAGGAAAAAAAACTGTTCTACTTTTATAATAATTTTCTACATTAAAAAATAATTTAATTTAAAAAAAATTTTATATATATGTTTATAATTACATATAATTAATACCATTGTAGCACAGATTAACATATATATATATTTGTTGTATGACATTAGGGGTACAATGTGTGTGAAGATAAATATATCAATAGATATATTCTATTTCTCACAATATTTTATATTTATCTAAGAAATTATTTCGAAATTATGATCTATTTGATTGATAAAAATAATGGAAATAGATTAAGATTTCTTTTCTATTTCTTTATTACTATAGAAGTATTTTGTGAACTCAGGAAATTGTGTCTCGTTTCTATCAGACTATTCAGTAATTTAAACCAAGATACAGATCGGTATTTTGAACAAGTTTCGCTTTCTGAATATCGTATGTCCTTAATAGACCTCGTTTACGTCATGCATGTGCACCCAAGTTTCAATCATGCATAAAGAAAACTTGATATTTTTATAGTGGGTCGAGGACCCATATTTCTCTTTATATTGTTCTCTTCTACTATCTTCTTTTATAATTTATCTAGCAGTTTATACGGTAATAAGTCTATTGTGTGTAAAAAAATGACTATAGATAATGACATTTATTATTATTATTATTATTATTATTTTCTCTCGCTTATAAATTAAAAAAAAATTTCTTTAAAAATTTGCTGGGGGTTTTTTTTATATTTAAATTCATAAAACAAAAGTTTTAAATATGTAAACTTTTGTCGTATTTTATTGTAATTTATACTTGGCAGTAGTTAATAATACTCTTTTAATTTAAATATTTGGCGTTGTTCCCTTATTACTATTATTATTATTTTATTCTCGTCTTCTTAGATTTTAAACTTTAAATTATAGTTTGATAGGAGTTACTACTTTATTCTCTTTTTTTATTTTTTTTAAAAAAAATAATAATAATTTTTGAATAATTATATTCAAATGTATTTATAGCACTTTAGTGTCAAACAACTTTTCGAAGTAAGTCAATACTCTTGCAACTAATCTATCCAATAAAAAGGTCTAAGTCCAATTATTAAAATTCTTAACTAATTTTATTGTTTACTTTATGACTAAATATTTTAAAAATACCAAGAAAAATTGTTAAAGTTCAAAAATTTCATTTTATGTAAACAAAATTTGTATACTTTACTATTTTATAATAATGATTAAAGATATTTTCTGTGTGTTTAACATTAAAAAAATTTTTTTTTTAATTTAAAATAATACTCTCGAATATGATAAATAATTTAAGCAAAAGTTTGAAGTTCTAATTTTATGTTAAAATAATGTTTCAACTTTGAACTTGAGTCTGACGAACAACAATAAAACATCTTATCGATCTAAACTTGTAAAAACACACGACTGAACTATGACTCGATTTAATTGGATTTTTAAAAATTAAATAGAAAAAAATCATTAATAACGCACGATCGCAATAGTCTAAAAGTACAAATTTCATAAAGAAATCACACAGACTTTAATAACTTATAAAAGAATTCGATTATTTTCTTTCGATGTTTTTTCGGCTGTAAACCTACTTGTTACGTGCAAGATCACGAAGAGTCACGGAGATTGGCGTGAAAGAACGTCGACCAAAGATGAGTTTACGTGACCTAAACGAAGACGACCAACATATTATTTGTATTTTTTTTATATTGATATATAAATCTAACGTAATAAGTCATTTAAGTTCTAGTTATCTTCTTCTTCTTCTTCTTTTTTTAAAGCATTGCCTATTAAAAGCTTTTAAAATAAATTATATATTATATAATAACAAGGTAAAATATGTTATTATATAAATTACAGTAACGTGAAAGCGTGTAATATAAGTTTATATGCTAATATTGTTTCTAAAAAGGTGTTTTTAGTGTCGTTGTAGATTTCGAGTTAATGGTTAGAAATTCAATAAACTGTAAATAAATATACCGACCTAATAAAAAATATATACATGAAATTATATAGTAATAGAAGAATTAATGATATATTTATTTTTTTGTGTGTGAGTGTGTGTGTGTTTATGTGTAATAAGAAAGAGGATTTTGAACTCTTGATAATTTCACCGTTTCATAATTACTCCATACGGCAGAATCAAGCATTCTAAGTCGCATTTAATGATAGGAGAATCAATTTTTAACACAGAATCACCTCCTCAATTTTACTTGATTTGACAGATAAATGCGATGCTATTTGACAAAAGAAACAAGTAGAAAAGTAGAGAATAAACTATACCATGTCCACCGCTTCCAATCACGTTCGAAGCTAAATAGCCTCCTCTCAATGGCACTCCTTAAGACTACCCAATACTGCTACATCGTAACTGCATGCAGTAACCATTGTTTCCGGTATTTGACGTAACTGCATGGTACATTGCATTGATCTCGTATAACTCCAACTAGAATTTATATTCATACAATAGAAATAATAAAATATCATATATATTATTATTAGTTTTTAGTCAATATTCTCTGTCTTCTTTCACTTAATTTTGGAGATGTTAAAATAAAGCTTTGAATTTTCGACGATCGTTTCGTTGCCTCGAAGTATATTATAAAGACTTTTTTTTTGTTAGCGAGTAACATTCCCGTATAAAATACAACCGTCGTAAATAACTGCTATAAGAGGGTTATTATAATTGATAACTATCCTCGTGGGCTAATCCTGTTTTTAAAAAATTAACATTGTTTAACCGATGTAAGCCGTGTTTCAACTCTATAAAACTGTACGTTTGACCTTAACGTTCGAGTTAATGAGCATGGGTCAATGTTAGTACCGTTGTTCGGAGTATTTTGACAGAGATCGGTCGCGTGAGGGCTGCCTGCAGCTGTCACGTGTCACGTATGTCCACTACCGACCATTAAACGAACTAGTGACACGGTATTAAAAATGCCTATCACGCAGAATTCAAAGCGCGTGTTATTCGCTTCCCCCCATCCACTTACCCCATTTTTAATGTTGGGGAAAGAAACTATTCTGTCGATAAACCGTGACTCAGGCTAGTTTTATGACCATCCGGTTTTTACATTTGTAGTAGAAGACTGAAGTACGTGATTTAGGAGAACACCTGGCTTCGTGTACTGATCCGTCAGACAACTGAATTGGTGCAGTGTTTTTACTATAGAGTTATTATGGATAAGAACGAGCTGGAAAAACCATTGGCTCCCCCCAATGATATACGGTTTGTTTGTCTTATTAACACTTTCCTGTAAGACAATGATTTTATATTGAATCAATTGAGACATTGAATCATATGAAACGTGAAAATCCGCCCCGATTTAATATAAAATTGTGCAAATAAATAATTTACTCGATCGATATTAGTAAGATTTATAATCCTGTGGGGATGTACACAAGCTTAAAATTTTTATTGCATTGCACTGCGTATACATGCTATTAATAATTTATTAGGGCAGTTTTCGTTATTTTGTATTCAGAGTAGCTGTGTTTTTATATCGAAAAACTGAATATTTAAGATTTATCTAAGTTTTTATCTACATTTAAGAGCCTTTTATGTTGGTTTGCTGTTGAAAGTTGTGCTGTTGTTTTTAATTAGTAACTGTGTTCAACAGGAGCATTGATTGAAGAAATAATAAGGATCAGGTTCCGTATAGGAAAACTAAGTTCAACTTACATTGTATGTAGCACAAATTTATTCTTCATTAGAAAGAAAAAAAAAGTTTTAAACATTTCGTATAATGTTATTTGGTATAAAACAATAACAATTCTATTTTTTCTAATATACAACAAACAGTAAAGTTTATTTTATTTTTTTTTTCTTTTTCTTTCAATTAAATTTAGGAAATTACCGCATAATACGTGTGGCGAATGCTAATTTTAACAGTTTAAATAAATAAAAAAATTTTCAAAAATGAGAAAACATTATTAGATTAAGAATAAAATGGTTTAGAAAACTTAAGTTCTTCGCGACAACAAGCGAAAGCTATTTAAAAAAAAAAAAAAATAGTAAACAAAAACCAAAAATTGCTAATATCATACAAACTATTGGATAAATAAAAGCCGAAATTAGACAATATAACTTTATCAATAGAATTTTACGAGATTATTTAATAAAATTTGAAAGAAAACTTTTAGTTTAGTTAGATGATAAAATACAAACTTCCAAGTAACTTCGTCACATCTAACTTCATTATTACACTAATATTGAACCCGATAACAAGGAAGCTTTACTTGTGCAATGATGTCGTAAAACAATGAGGAAAAGCACCATCTGGTTGGAGGGAAAAAGAACTAAAAAGTAGAAGATTAGTTTAGTGTTTAAAATTGAAACGACTTTAGAATTTTATGTTCGCTTCATTTCAGAACTTTTATATCGTTTTCGTAAAAGTGGCAAAACTTCTTATTGTCTTATTAAATCTAATAAAATATTCAGGTAAAAATCTTTTTTATAAATATATATTTTATTAAAATTGAAAGTATATTTAAATATTCCATAAATAAACACTCAAGCTAAACACTAAGAGAAATTTTTCTCAACTTCTCTTTTAATATCCTCGATAGTTGAAATGATGTATGATTAACACTCTTATTTACTTGTATAATTATCCATTTAACCCGGTTAAAAATAAAAATATTTTCCTCGCGATGTTTTTAAAGTATAAAGTTTAATCCCGAATATCACACAATAGCTTAGTCCGAGGTTTCTTGGTGCATTGATAGTCCCTGAAGGATGATCAGAAAAGGAAATGGAAAAACGCTCCGTTCTCAATTGTGTTGAAGTTTAAGTGA